TGGATAGAAAACAGGACTTAGGGGGCAGCCAGGTGGCATAATAGATAGAGCACTGACCCTGGAGTCAGGAGGACCTGAGTTCAAATGTGACCTCAGACACATGATACTACTAGCTGTGTGACCCTGGGCAAGTCACTTAATTTCTCTATACCTCAGTTTCCTCATCTGTAAAATGGAGATAATAACAGCACTTACCTCCCTGGGTTTTTGTCAGGATCAAATGGAGTAATTGGTATAAGATGTTTTGTAAACTTTAGAGTGCTTTATGCTATCAGCTGTTGTTAATTAAAAGTGTATTTTGTCTTCTGATAGAAGGTCAGCTCCTCAAGGGTGGGGACCTTTTCATTTATATTTTTGCATCCCCACCACCTAGCACAGTGCCTGGCACGTAGGAGACATTTAATAAGTGCATATTGATTGATCAACTAATTGAATATTTAAACACATTTCTGGTGGACTGTGTAATGTGGTAGATAGTATTGTACCTGGAGTCAGGAAAACCTGGGTTCAAATGCTACCTCAGATAGTCACTCAACTTCCTCTGCCTTGTTTTTTTTTTCTCATCTGCAAGACAGAGGTAATAATAATACACTGCACAGACTTGTCATAAGCCCCAAATGAATTTTTTTGTGAATCACTTTGTACACCTTAAACTACTCTATGAATGACTTCTATTGTCATTCACGTTGTTGTTATTATTTATCAGCCTTCACCTTTAACATGGAAATGTTCTACAAAACACTTTCACTCTATTTTAGATTTTTTGACTAAAGAGGATAAAATTGCTTTTAATAAAGAATATAAAAGAGTTAAGTTTTTAAGGAAAAACAACATGCAAAAGAAATTAAGTAGCAAAACATATAATTAAATACCATCAGCACAATTCTTCCCCTCCTGACTGAATGTTTCTCTCTCTAATGAATAGAAATAGTGGATATTTATTCCTTAGCTTGAAACTAATATCTCAACCAGCTGGACTACGAATTAGGCTTAGTTTCCCAGAAATGGTGCCTTGTATAATATATTAGTATGCATTTTAAATGTGTTAATGTGTTCATTCATGTAAAACATGAGCTGACACTTTTATCACTTATTAGCTATGAACAAGTCCCACAATCTCTCTGAAACTCAGTGTCTTCATCTCAAAAATGGGAATAAAATCATGCTACAACTTCACAGGGTTATTGTGGGAAAAAGCACGCTTTGTAAATTGGAAAGTATGGTGGAAATGTGAGCTGTCATTATTAGGTACTCCTAACAGGAGTGAAAATTAAGCAACGTCAAAACAAAAGAAATGATGGATTGTCACCGATGTGTCCTATGAAGTATCAATGTCAAATTTACCAACAGTTCGAAATCCAAATATGAACATATTATAAGCATTAGGGTGAGGACTGATTGAGTCCATTGATCACCCTGTCCCAGTTAAATTATCTAAGGAGACATGGTAGCCCTGATACTTTATTAAGTGAAAATATTTCTATTGAATATTTCAGTCAATCAAAGGCATTAAACTAAACGACTCCATATTACATATTCGATGTCTTCTATAAAACATTAACACAATCAGAGCCAGTTATTATCCCAGAGTCTGGCAGCCAAGGGCAGAGAATAGTCTCTGAGAGGGAACCCGTCAGGGAAATAAAAGAAGAGGCTCTGTTTCCTCCCCTCCCATTGACCAGAGGACAGCCTTGTGAACTTTAGAGGGTCAGAAGATTTGGCCTTCTCATGAGCAGGCTAACACTGTCCCAGGAACAGCTGTGGCATGGCCATTGGTCACTACGAACAAAATAGATACAGTGGGGAGAGGCAGCTTCAGAACTTTCGAAGGGGTCCAGAAGAAAGCTACATCATACCTAAGGAGAATTCCATGAGTGTTCCTTGAAGAGAAGAAAAGTCTTTCTAGCGACCAGGAGCTGTGAGTTAACGCTTTGCTACATGTGCTTTCTGATCTTGAGCACATTTTGCCATGGACTCCATCTGTACTGTAGGAGAGTATGTCCCAGAATTCAGGGAGGCTGTTTAGTATTCATTGCTCTTCCCAGTCGCTTTAGAGATAGCCTTTTCTAAAAGCTCACTAAATCTGGTTGACTGATGTCAACTGAAGAACATGGGAGTGGGTGGGGTGGAATGTAGCAGTTGGGTCTCCTGAGCCGTGGTATCAGAAAACCATTCCCTCCCTCCCAAGTCCTCAGGGTTTCCTAGAACCTTGAGAAGGGATAAACTTGTTTTGGGGAGTTGCCTTGACAATCAAAATGGGAGTCAGGATAGCAGCCCCAGAGCATGTACCCCATAAAGTTTATTTGTTTGCTTTTTAAATAAAGGAGTACTAGACTTTCAGTAACAGCACTAGTTAAGGTCCTCTATGTTTTGTGAGTTAAGTTGCTCCAGAAAGGCATTCCTTCGCCCCAAATATCTTATCCGTTGGTGATTTAAATTCAATCATTAGCGATTAAGGCCTTTAGAACAGCACTTCATTTATAGGTTGCCTTTTCAAAATTTATGGTCGGAAGTGGCATATTACATTAATTTTACAATACCGATATGAAAGGTTAAACACATAAGTGATTTTATTTTTGAAAGGAATTCTTAATTTAGTGGATATTAAGACAGCAAATTACTTAATTTTAGCTTTCAATGGACTTCTTTTTCATACTTTTAAAAACAGTGTTTGCTTTTCAGTATTTATTTTACATATAATGATAAATATAGTAGAAGGTTAAAAAGACAGATGAAATCTTACAAATCATAGATACCAATTCCCTCATTTTACAGATAAGCAAAGTAAAGCCTAGAGAAGGGAAATGATTTGTCCAATGCTGAATAGGAGTTAGTGGTATGCTATTGGCCAAAATATTCCTCCCACACCAACCTTAACCATACCTTCCACACTTGCTTCCTAAATGTCACATGGAAGGAGCTTCATAATGGGTACCATGCTAAGCAACCATCCTTGGTATGCTTATGGGTGAGCAGAATTTTTTGGCTGTGCAAATGTGAAACTTATAATTAAACTCAGTATCGCAACTTAATTATTTTCTGTCTCGAATTACCTCCTTTGACTTTGATTCTCCTAACAGTGCTGGTAGGAAGATGAACTTCATGTCCCATAAACATTATCTTTCCCCCCAAGCCTTCTCCTCTTCCTAACACTTTTTATTACTGGGGCACCACCATCCCCCCAGGCACTCATGCTTGCATTCTTAACTCCTAACTCTCTTTCACCCCCCTCTCCAATCTGTTGCACCATGGAATCTACCTTAATGACAGATCTTGAATATTCCTTCTTTTCTCCTCTGACACTGCCACCACTCCGGTGCAGCCCTTCATTAGCTTACGCCTGTATTATTGCAAAAGCATGCATTTAGGGAATTGCAGAGCAATGCAGGGAATTTTGACTTGTCCAGGGTCATAAACCAGTTACATTCTGAAGACTCTCTATCCACTGCATGACTGCCCTGCTAGCTCCTTAATGAACATAAATATAAGATTCCCCAAATTAGCATATATGTGATTGCCTAAAAGTTACAAAACCCTGCTTGATAAAACTGGGGACACCTAACACTTGGCATTTTTGCTCAAGGAGAGTAGTTTTATACACTTTGCTATAAGAAGAGAATTGCAGGGCGCTAGGTGGCGCCATAGTGCACAGAGCTAGGCCTGGAGTCAGGAAGACTCATGTTCCTGAGTTCAAACCTAGCCTCAGACACTACTAGCTGTGTAACCCTGGGCAAATCACCTAACCCTGTTTGCCTCATCTTCCTCATCTGTAAAATGAGCTGGAGAAGGAAATGGCAAACCACTCCAGCATCTGCCAAGAAAACCCCAAATGAGGTCACTAAAAGTCAGAAACGACTGAAAACAACTGAAGAACTACCAAAAAAAAAAAGAAGAAGAAGAAGAAGAAGAGGATTATTATTTGGTTTTTGGAATTCCACTTCATTTACTCTTATGAAAACCATATATGAATTACATATCCTCATACCTGAATAACTGGATTCAGAGAAATTACTATCTTTTGGCTATTTAAAAAGCGTCCAATCTCATTATTAAATGGCTGGATCTGAATCATATAATAGGCTCTAATGACCTTGCTGTCTAAATTATAGTAAGTCAGAGTACATTAATTCTTTGAGATGGTCTCCAATGCATCAAACCACCAATGTTGTCTCTGGCATCTGCTTTTTCTGTACTGTCTCTTTGTGTCAAATCTACCTTTTTTTTTCCTTCTTCTGTTTGGTTCCACACACATTCTCTCTCCTCTCTTCATGTGACTTGTCCCTGAAAGCTTCAGGCTTAATCTCTGTTACAGCTAGAAATAGAATTTGGTAGTCTGGGTCAAAATGTAGAGTCAAGAAAGACGGCATTCACCTGCTTATTGAGGAAAAACTTGGGGAATGAAGAAAGGGAATGAATTTTACCTGTGTGACTTTAGACAAGGCCCTTTCTCTCTTTGGGCCTTTATTTCCCTAAAATGATGCAACTGGACATGAGATTCAGAGATGATCTGGAGCTAGCCAATAGTTAAATATTCCATATAGACATTTATACCTCAGAAATCACCAAATGCTACAAATCATGGCTTGATTTATTGTTTTCTTGATTTCTAGACTTAAGAAAATGATGGAAAAATATTAATAATTCAGGTTGAATTTAAAATTATGTTGTGGTATACATTTTTTTGAGACGTGGTTGTTAAACATTTTCCAGCACACCCTTGCTGAAGTCCCATCAATCTCTAAATTCATTATTCAAAGAAAACTGCCCTAATGTTTTCCTTGAAAGTATGAAGAATATACAACTGTGAGGAAGAGAGGAGGAAATAAAAATGTGAAATGATTCCAATATGAAGAGAGCATGGTAAGTCGAAATGATCCTAATATGAAGAAAATGTCTATAATCGTAGTTAATCAAAAAATTTAGATAAACTGATCTGAGCCAGTTCATTTATTACCCAGAAGTGCCTTAAAATGTTCTATAGTGGGAGATTGGTCAGTTACCTCAGAATGATCAATGCGTAGATTTTCATAGTTGTAGAAATTATCCAGGTCTTCCAATGTCACATCGTAGGTTTCAGAGTCATAGTTTATGGACTCTAGAGTAGGAGCGGCCAAGGCAGCATCAAAGACAAAAAGTCCCAGGAAAATTCTTGCTAAGGTTTTCATTCTTCAATCTTGGGTAAAATATCCAAAAAAAAAAAAAATGAATGCATCAACACATAGCTGAAAATAAATTGTGAAATTCTCCTCTACAAATAAGAATACCAAGTGAAGGACAAAGGTGAATATCTTCCGCTGGTAGCCTTTCCATTCACAGGTAATTAACAGCGTAAATAACATCTTTAATGGGGCAATTTCTCACCTCCGTACCTTTGTACAGGTTGCAACCCATGCCTAGAATGCACTTCTTCAACTCTAAGTATGCTTAGCTTCCGTCAAGGCTCAGCTTAGGTGTCACCTCCTACAAGAAGCTTTTCCTGATCTCTTCAGTCATTAGTGTTCTCTCCTTCCTGACCTTTCCATTTATTTATTTACTTATTCATTCAGTCATTTATTTATACAGCTACTTATTTATTTATTTCTTCATTTATTTTATTTCTGCGTTCATTCATTCATTTACCTATCTATTTATTTGTCTAGTCATTCATTCATTTGCTTTATTTGTTTTTCATTCCTTCTTTCATTTGTTGGTTTATTTTATCTAACAGAATATAAAGAGGGCAAGGATTGTTTTTGTTTTTGTATTCCAGGAAGCAAAGGTCCTTCCATATAGTAAATCCTTAATAAATGTGTACTGAATTGGATGGAATAAAAATCATACAATATTTTTTTCAGAATATCTTTTTTTGCCAAATTTTATAATCTTACATACACATAGAATCATAAATATTGAAGAAGGTCCTTTTGAGGTCATTTGGTCTGATTCCTAGATGAAGCATGAATCCATTCCATTCCACCAGCATTGATTAAATATCTAGCATGAATGTCACAGTGGATATAGCACACTCTACCTAGAGTTGAGAAGACCTGAGTTCAAATCCAGCCTCAGACACTTACTTGCTAGGTGACCCTGGGCAAGTCACTTAATCTGTGATGGCCTAAATTTGCTTATCTGTAAAATGAGGTAGTTAGGTGGCACAGTAGATAGAGTCCAGGGCTGGAGTCAGGAAGACTCATCTTCCTGAGTTCAAATCCAACCTCAGACACTTACTAGCTGTGTGACCCTGGGCAAGTCACTTACCATTATTTGCTTTAGTTTCCTCATCTGTAAAATGAGCTGGAGAAGGAAATGGTAAACCACTCCAGTATCTCTGCTAAGAAAATTGTGAACAGGGTCCCAAAGAGTTTGGATGTGAATAAAATAGTATAACAACAACAAAAATAACAATAATATGAGAATAATAATAGCACCTAACACTCTGGGGTTTTGTGAAGATAAAATGAGGTAATATTTCTAAAGTATTTTATAAAACTTAAAAATCTTTTCTTTAATAATTGCAATCAAAAGAGTTGATGGATTGAGCATCTGCAATGGTGAATTGAACATCTATATCTGGTTCAATGCTGATAGAAGTGATCTGTCTAATAATTTCAGAAGGACCATGCAAATCAATGAGATATTTGTGGATTCTCATCTGAGACTGCTAACTTATTGTTAATATTACTACATATTATGCACCAGATATTGTGGTAGAAGCTCAAGATACAAAGCAAAAAAAAAATATATATATATATATATAAATACCCTCTGGGAATGTGTGTGTGTGTGTGTGTGTGTGTGTGTGTAGGGATGGGGAGGGAGGGTAGAGACACAACACTAAACAGATAAATTTAATATATAGAAAAAGTAAGCAATAATCAATGAATAATTATTGAATAAACACCCATTCAGTGCCAGGCATTTTGCTAGGCACTGATGGTAGAAAGACCAAAATGAAATAGCCCTTGAGTTAAAATCTGGGCAGATGTCCTGTACATATATAAAGAGATACAGAACAAATATGTGAGGAATGTTCCCAAGGTAGTTTAATACAAGGTGGTTAGGGAGCAAGGACACCAGCAGTTAAGGAGATCAGGAAGAAATCTTTGTGTAGACAGTGGTCTGCATCCTGGAGAGAGATGCCAAGAGCCAGAGGGGAGGAGGGAGTGCATTCCAGACGTGGAGGATGGCCAATGCAAAGATACTATAAATGCAAAGCAGTTTTTTTTTTTTGGGGGGGGACTAGAAATGGTCAGTATCAGGAAAGTCCTCATGTACAAGGGGGCAGCTGAGTTGAGGCCTGAAGTAAGCTATAACTCCTTAAGAGTAAGAAGTGAGGAGAAAGAGCATCCCAGGAATGGGATTGGTGCTTATTGAAAGACATTGGGCTGGGAGATGGGGTGTCATTTATGTAATCAACAGCCACCTGAAATGGTCACTTGGCTTCTGTTCAAAATGTATAGTTATGAGGGACCCATTGGTTCTTGAGGCAGCTATTTCCTTTTGTTTTTTGAGAGGGGAGCTCCCATTGTTAGGAAGTTCTTCCTAACCGTTTCTAATTCCTTCAATTGCTAGTTAATAATTAACATTTTTGTAACCTGCTACATATACTATCTCATGTGATGCTCACAATAGCCCTGAGAGGTGAGTACTGTTATTATCTGTATTTTTACAGCAGAGACAGAGAGTTTAAGTGACCTGTCCAGGGTCATACAGCTAGTGTCTGAGGTGGGATTTGAACTCAGGTCTCCCTCCCCTCCAAGCCCAACACTGTATCCACTACATTAAGCTTCCTCCAAGAGTGGCTCATCCTTATGGGATATAGCTTCAAATCATTTCACTGTCCTGATCTTCCTTCTCTGGATACTGTCCTTCTTAAAAATATAGCCTCTAGAACAGTACTCCAGAAATGGTCTGAATAGCCCAAAATACAGAGAGACATTCAGCTCTCTCACTCTAAACCCAGAGCACACCAGGAGTGTCTATGGGGACTATTTGTCCTGTTAATATAAGATCGAGCTTGCATTCCACTAAAATCTTTGGTCATTTCCATATGAACTGATATCTAGGCACATTTCTACCATTTTTTTTTCATTGTTTTAAAATCGAGTGTAAGGCTTTAGTTACATAAATATGTTTGCATGGAAATAAATATTTATGAGTTGAATCGAATTGATATTGAATTAAAATGGGCACCTCATTCCAACCCATCTTAGGTTTTTGTTTGTTTTTGTGTGTGCATCTCAGTTGTTTCTTCCAGCAAACAAGCTGTCTCCTGAGCTTTGCATCACAGGATCCTAGCTGGAAGAAATCTTAAAGGTCAACAAATCCAGCTTCTTCATTTTACACAGGAGAAAACTGAAGCAAAGGGTGTTTAAGGCACTCAGCATCAGAGAAGCCTAGCTTTAAAGCTAGAAGAAGCCATTGAGTCTAAAGTCTTCACTTTACAGATAAGGAAAAATGCACAGAAGGCTTAAATAACTTAGGACCATAGTGGATAGAGCACCGACCCTGGAGTCAGGAGGACCTAGGTTCAAATCCAGCCTCAGACACTTACTAGCCATGTGACCATAGGCAAGTCGCTTAACTCCAGTTGCCCTCCCCCAAAATTAGGACCAAGGGATCCTAGTTTTAGTGTCATAAGATATCTTAAAGTCCATTGATCACAATCCCCTCATTTTACAAAGTAGAAAATTGAGACACTGGGAGTTAAGTAACAAATAGCTTATCAAGTGTCAGAGGGAGGATTTGAACTTGGGTTTTCCTAATTTCAACCTTAGCACTCTATTCATGCACAACTGTAATAAGTCCACCATTTATGGCTAAGCTACCAACATCTAAAAACTCCTGGAGGTTTTTATGAAAGATATTAAAATTGAACCTGTTTCACAGATGAGGAAATCAGGTACTTAAAGGCAACTTATTACGATATTTAACTGCATGACTGATTTATGCTTTTATGTCTTTTAACATCAGTAAGTCATAGGATCACAGATATAGAGCTGGAAGGGGCTTTGGAAGTCATTTAATGCAAGCCACCTCATTTTACAGATGGAGAAGCTAAGGTTCAGAGAGGTCAAGTGACTTGCCGAAGGTCACGCAGGCAATTAATGATAAATCCAGGATTGAAACAGGTGCTCTGACATCAAATCCAGCACACTTTCCATTGACCCATTTTTCAGGAAATAGATTGAAAAAGTTTCTTAAGCAGATCAAGGATAAAGAGAGAAAACTATTATGTTTTTTTTTTGCTTTGGAAGGCAGTGTTCTATCTGAACTTTGATAGAAATTCAAGGTTTGCATTTTTCCATCTCATAGTAAAAAGGAAGCATACATTTCCAAAGGTCATACTTGGAAATGTTCCCATGAGAAAGCGTGAGATCAGGACTAACATTTCAAAACTAAATCCCCTCTACTAAGCAAAGCATTGTATCACTATCATTGCTACTGTATTTTTTTTGGCTAATCATCGTCTTATCTCTTTCCCCCTTTTGGGATCCTGCTGTTTCAAAACATACCATTAATAAGAAAAAAGCTACATATTTGAAATTCTGTGTTTAGTTTAGTATTCCAAATGCAAAAAACATTTTTCTATATATCTATATCTACATGTGCGTATATGTGTGTGTATATACAGAGAGAGAGACAGACAGAGAGATGCATACACATGCATACATATATGTATATATATATGTATATTTGTTGAGCATTGTGATACAAATGCTGAATTTCCCTTCTCAAGGACAAAGCATTCAGAATTTACCATGGGCAATTATACCATGTATAATGTCATACCCCACAATGAAGTTCATTTATTAAAAAAAAAAAAGGCAGTCTTTGCAATATCTTTCTAGATGGTTTCAATAATATGCATTTGATTCATTATTTTCTCAATTCCACTTAAAATAAACATTGCCTGTGGCAGTTTATGGACATACACATCCACATAAAATGGAATCCGTGAGTCAATGCTCTTTCCAAGTTTGAATGCACAGATAGATATAGACCCTCAGAAGGTCTTGAAAGAAGGTCTTTATGAAGTTGTTTTACGCAGAGGGATATGAAATTCCTCTGGGAATGAGGAGCAGTACAAGGGACTCATTTTTCAATCCTCCTATGCGTTCTTCAAACAAACTTTTTTTTTCTCTTGCTGGATAAATCCAGAATCTGTTTCTTTTTCCTTTGCTGGAGGTGTTAGTAGAATACATTGATTCCCAAATTGGATTTGAAATTTGCACATGAAGTCTCATTTGAGCGACACAGTTTCATGTACAAATTCTTTGAAAACATATTCTACCATATTAAAATGGGAGCCATTGCACTATGGGTCTCACCATTGTTTTGCCTGACTCCTGACTTGAAATCCACGTGTCTGTAAATTTCAGGCAGAAGTTTTATTAGCTAGTGAAAATATCCCCTTGCTAGCACTTAATTTTTTTTTCTCACTTTATATTTTATAGTCTGTGTTCCTGTCAAGAGTGCACATGGCTTCAGTTCAGGGTTGGCTTGGACTTTGGCTCACTTCCTAAGGGTACCAACAATAAGCTATTGTGTGTAACTCTTTAGAAATATGCTAAGGACCAACCTTCCTCGTCAATTTGTTTCTAGTGCTTTTTAAAATTTCTTTCAATATTTCTATTAATTATCTTAATTGGAAATTTGTAATTGTCTTATTCCTTAAAAAGTTTCTGATATATTTGTTTTCAGATTTTCTTAAATGTTTAAAGTTTCCAGAATGCATAAAACTTAAGAAAAGAATTCTCAGAGTACCATGGTGCTTCATCAATTAAAAAGTCTAACCGCCCCCCCCAAAAAAGAAAACATCCTGTATCTCAATTTATATTCTATATTCTTCCCTCCTTCCCACCCCGCTCCTTAGCAATTCTCTAATCAATAGGCATCAGTCACAGCTGTCAATATCTGCTAAGAATATGGCATAAGCCTAGATACTGGCTTCAGCTAGGGTATATTGGAACCTACTCTACTTAAAGTATACTGGCATCTCGTATTGCTGGAAGATGAAATATTTTGCCATGCATTATATATATGAATGCATATATTTCTATGCAAAGTTCACAAAGAAATATCCAAGAAAAATAAAGTCACTAATAATATTAAACTACATCAATTGACCAGTGAGTTCCATGGTATTTGAAAATAAATAGAATGAAGAATGTTGTCATCTTAGAGAAGACAGAAAACACACACACACAAATAAGTCACTAACCAAAGAGGAAAGCAAGTTCAAAAACTTACCTTTGGCTCTGTCTCTCTGAAATGGCATGAAGCGACTGAGGATACAGAGCTAGTGGTATTCGCCCTTGACCAATGGAAGTGAATTTTGGGTCTGTGGGAGGTGAAACTTGTAACACTCAATTTGTTGTTTGAGAAAGCTAAACCTGAGAAGAGCTTCCCAGGTCTTTAAAACCCACTGAATTAGTTTATCTTCTCTAAGACTAAGACAGTCAATATGTAATAGTTTAGAAGCCTTTTAAAAAATCTGTTAACGTCCCTAACTTCTAGTATATTATTTAAAGTTTAGAAATGAAGTTGATTTCTTCACTTATAACTTCAGCACTTATAACAAATCAAACAATAAAAATACTTAATATGTGTATTACAGTTTTTCAAATAAACATTTGGTCATATCCATTTTTTAGTGCTATAAATATTTAGCTATGATTGCCTTTCTTTTGAGTTTTTCACACATAATGAACCAAAATTAATTATTTAATTTAATTAAAGTTATTTTAATTAAAAGCTAATTAATTAAAATCTGTGTGATGAAAATTAAGGATTATTAGGGATTGTTAAGCCTTTACCCAATATTTAATTGATAATAAAAGGATGAGGTATCTAGTATGCAATGTTTTTTTTAAATCAGAGGTGATATTAAAATATAAATGCTTTATTTGAGATTTTAAATTTTCTTTCCATAAATAAAGTACAGGACTGACAATTATGGTATAGAATGATTTGATCTCCTAATGGATGGTCTTTAGGGAATTTTTTTCTTATTTTTATTAACATAAACCAAGACATTTAATTCACTAACATCTCCCAAGATAAAATATTTCCTTCTTGAATCTTAATAGCTAGCAGTGTTTATGGACTAATTATTATTAATAACAATAATAATAATATGCCTTTACGTAGTATTCTAAGGCTTATAAATGCTATATCAACATAACATCATACATTAGAGCCAGAAGAGTCACTGGGAGATAAAGTGATTTGCGCATGGTTACAAAGGTAAGCTTGAGGGCTCCAACTTGAACCAATCCTCTGGTGCTAAAGTTAGTTCACTTTCCCTAAACCACAGAGGGCAATGTTATGATAATTTGATGTGGTCTTTATTATATGTCCTGATCTGTTTTGTTTGTTTGTCTTTATTTGTTGTTATTTTAAGAGTTCAAGTTGCTAGGGGGCAGCTAGCTGGCGCAGTGGATAGAGCACCGGCCCTGGATTCAGGAGGACCTGAGTTCAAATCCAGCCTCAGACATATAACACTTACTAGCTGTGTGACCCTGGGCAAGTCACTTAACCCCATTGCCTAAAATAAGAACAAAAAAAAAAAAGAATTCAAGTTGCTTGATGCCTGCCTATATATATGAAGGACTATGTTCTACCATATAATGCTGATGCTACTGTGTGTAATTTAGAGTCACAGAACCTGGGTTTGAATCTTTACTTACCACCTATGTAATCTTAGGCACCTCCCTTCCATCAAGGAGGTCACAGTCTAACTGGGGAGACAACATGAGAACAACTATATGCAAATACGACATAGACAGGAAAAATTCAAGATAATCTCAATGTAAACATTGCAGAAGAATGAAAGGAGCTTTTTAGAGGAGATGGTATTTCAGCTTGACTTGGTTTGTATGAATATTGGCAAATCACTTACTTTTCAGTGCTATAAGACTATGAGTGCAGATGTATTACTCTCTCTGGGCTCATTTCTCAATATGCACTCACATTTAATTACTAGGTAGTCTCAGATCTTTAAGGTTAAGCATGAAGTGCTAGAGTTTCTAGTCATGTTGATTTTGAGCCCCCACCAGTGTGTTTCCTATTAAAAATCAACCGTTTGGCAATATTAACTTTTAGAAAAAGGATTTGCTAAGAAGGATTTACAATAAGAATTATTTATGTAAAACGCCCCCATCAAAATGGACCTGTATTCTCTCTTTGAAAAAACAAGCGAGGTCAAGTACAAAGTAGCTATTAACATAAAAAAAAAAAAACAAGTGAGGCAGAGGGAACCTCATAGCATCTTGTATGTGGAGTCTTTTGCTGCTTTTATGGAGTCTTTACCAAGTTCCCTTTAGGCATAGCTTTCTTCTGGGTGGGCAGCTCAGCTGGACTCTAAAGGAATATGTTTTGGTTTTTTTTAGTTCATAATAAAAACATTGTGGAATTTTTCTGAGTCTCAATTCAACAACCACTGAGTCACCAGGTTTTTTTGAATCTGCAACTAATTTAAGCAATTTTTGTCATTATACAATATCAATCCGTTAGTCTTATGTGACCAGAATCAGGGTTTCCATGTTTACGCAGAATTCTTTGGACTGGCAACAGGTAGGGAATACCTTTTATGTTTTAAGGACTAGAAGAACATCCACTGTAAATTCTATTACACCAAAAAAGGTGCAGGCCTGTTATGGGTAAACAGAATTTCCTCCTCAAGTTTCCTATACCGATGAAATCATAGGTCAATAGTCTTTTAATTGTTCTCCTTGCTTCAAATTTTTCTACTACTGGAATTAATCATTCTCTACATAGATGCCAAAATGATTTTCCTAAAACTTAGCTATGACCAGGGTTCGAGTCTCACGTCTGAATATACTACCTGGCCTTGAGCAAGTCTTTTAGCATCTTTTAGTATCTCCAGGTAATTCTAACATTATAAATTACTGTTTAATTGCTGATATGGCTCCTCAACACTGCCCCTCCCCAATGCTAATGAAGTCATAAGTGTAAAATTTTAAAAATGCACAAGATATTTTACTAAACACTGTGGGAAAGAACAAAGATGAATATGGCACTTCTTACAATTTCAAGGGTCTTCCAACATAGGAGGTGAATTTAGAGAAATGTACTGATGGGAAAAACATAAAATGCCATGAAAGTTTAGAAGTGGAGAGTGTTAACTGAATAGCTATTGCCAATAAGGGGTTAAACTGGTGACCAGATGAGGGAAGGCTGCAAAGAGCCATAAGGGATGTTGGAAACAGATCAAGATTATAGTCATATGCACACTTGAGCTACTAGAATGGGGAAGGGCAGTGGCAGGGGCCATAAGATTGTTAGGTCATAGTATCAGAGTTGGAAATTACCCAATCCAATCTTTTTAGTATGGAGAGGATATTATGTGGTAGAGATGTTTATTATTATTATATTATTTTATTATTATTATTACTTGCTTAAGGTCACATGGGAAGAACCAGTATGGGTGGTGCTATATAGTTTATCACAGAAAACTACAAATCCAGAAGAAAGTGAATGGATCAACAATTCTGTCGTGTGAAATGAGCACACAAATGAAAGGAGCAGATTAAGTAAAGAAAGAGCTCTGAGCTGTTGATGGCAGGAGGAGGCAATCATCAGTGTCCAGTTTGAGTTCAAGTGGACCAAGCTCTGGCCCTGGAGTCAGTAAGATTCAAGTGTAAATCTGGTTTCAGACATATATTAGCTGTGTGACCCTGGGCTATTCACTATACCTCTATCTGCCTCTGTTTCCCCATCTGTAAAAGGGGGATAATACTAATACTTCCCTCCAAGGTTGTTGGGAGGATCAAATGAGCTGATTTGTAACGCTAAATTTAACACACGGCCTGACACCATAGTACATGCTTAAATTCTTGTTCCCTTCAAACCCACCACCACCACTCACTTAGAAAAAAGGCTTACAGTAGAATATCACAGATACCTATCTTTGCCTTAATTAACTTGGTTATGTAACCTTTTTTCAACGGCTTTGATAAAGGCATAAGAAAGAATGCTTATCAAAGCTTCAGACCATGCAAAGCTGGGAGGGAAATCCTAGCACACTGTGTAGCAGAGCTAAGATTTTAAGTGACCTTGAAAGGCCAGAATATTGAACTGGAATGAATAAGATAAAAGTGAATAAGGATAAATGTATAGTACAAAGGGTCACACTTGGTTTACAAAAGTAAGATGACAGAGCAACAGACAATCATTTATTTGAAAAAAAAGTTTTCAAATGTCTAGGGGTCCTAGTGGACTACGAGTATACTATGTCAATAGTGTGTTATGGCAATCAAGAAAGCAAATGAAGTCTTAGATTGCTTTAGAATGAAAATAACTCTAGGAATAAGGAAATTTTTGTCTTGCTCTATTGCCCCCTGGCCAGACCACATCTAGAGGACTGCTTTCAATTCTGTATACCACATTAGGAAGGACGCTGAGAGGCCATTGTCTCCATACTGTGCTGTCATGCCCTTGGCCCATTAAAAGACCTTTTTTTTTTCACTCATTCACTCACTAAAACATTAATTCTCTTTAATAGAAAAACTATTTTAATGTTTTCCCCTAATTTGAATTAAATCATAACAGTATTTTTAGATTTATTTCAGTGTTTAAAAGTATCAAAGGTGGTAAAACTGAAGTAGTCCTGGCTCCAGTAGAAAATCCAGAATCAAATATTAGCTCTAATACTATCTGTGTGACCTTAGCCAAGTCATGTTGCCTCCCCAGGCTATGGTTTCTTCATTTATAAAATGAAGCTGTCAGACCAGGTAGCCTCTGAGATCCTGTCTAACTCCAGGAATCCCTGAAAGACATTCAACTCACATCATTTGACTTTGTTTGTTTTCTAAATCACAAAACCAGGATCACATCAATATCTTGCCATCATTTCCCATATGCTAGAGAACAAGAAGAGAAATAATAATGTCCTGACGAGTATCATCACCTTCCTTCTTCTCTCCTTGCATTGTCCAGCCTCCAGCTCTGTTGCAAATGGGCTCAGAGAGGGGAAGCTAGGTAGTGTAGCAGACAGAGTACCGGCCCTGGATTCGGGAGGACCTGAGTTCAATCCGGTCTCAGACACATAGCACTTACTAGCTGTATGACCCTGGGCAAGTCACTTAACCCCATTGCCTAGCCAAAAAAAAAAAAAAAGAATGGACTCAGAAACATATCTGACTAACTGACCTATTGGATCTAGTCCCTGTCTTCAGACCAGCAAATGCCTAAAGAAAATATTAGGATCAAAGATGTACAGCTGAAAGAGATCTGAGAGGTCATCAAATATTACCCTTTCATTTTACAGATGGGGAAACAGGTATGTAGTGGGTAAGTGACTTGCCCAGGGT